TTCTGCAGCTTCAACATTCACCTTGAATGTCTTATTTTTCACTAATGCAGACTGCATAATCAATTTCTTATTATTGTCGTAAAGATTCAGTAGGATGTTTCCCATAGTCACTGAGTATCCTTTCTCTATCAATTGTCCTACATTCATCAAGTTTCTCTTCATGCCAAAAGCATACCACACATCTTTGATCAACACAATGTTTCCATCCCTCACTTTTATCATGACATTCCCCATTCCCTCAGTAACTATATATTCATCATTAACACACCTAATTTTGGTCCTCCTATCTGAGTCAAAATTGACCAGCCATAACATGTTTCTAGTTATATGGTTGGAGTAGCCTGTGTCCATGTAGCACCAATCTACCACTGCATTAACATCTTTTTTGTCACCATCAGCAGCACATGTTCTTCCTCTGAATCACCTCTAGCTATGTTGACTTCTTCATTCTTTTTTTCCTTGTTTGGCCAACATTCAATCGCAAAAAGACCAAATTTATTGCAATTGTAGCATTAGATCTTTCTCTTATGAACCTTCTCCTTTCCCTTATTAACATATTTATGTCCCTTCTCACCTTGATTGGAGAATTCAGACTTCTGGACACCACCATCATTCCTTTTCTTGATTTCCAACCATGATTGTTTCTTATTCTTTCACTTGAGATTATCATTGTTGCTCTTCTTGACAAAAAGAGCTTTAAAAACATGTTATATTTCCCTCTCAGAGTTTCTTCCAGTAAGACACAATTCTTGTGCTTCTAAACTACTTTGCAACTCTTCAATTCTCATGGTGCTAGTGTCTGTGTTCTATGGCTACCAAAATATAATCAAACTGAGGAGTAAGTGATCTTAGGACCTTTTCAATGAATACTTGTTTAGAGAGTGTTTCTCCATAAGACTTTATCTTGTTCGTCACCATAATCACTCTTGAGATGTAATCATGCACCTTTTCATTGTTCTTTATGTTGAGCTTCTAGTATTGCTTACATAGGAACTACAACTTTACTTTCTTTACTGATGTATCGCCATCATAGCACCGCACAAGCGCATCCCACGTTGCCTCGCAGTTGTTGAATTGGAAATCTTCTCAAACACTTCCGTGTCCACACATTGGTGAATGTAGAACAATTATGTTAGACAATAGGATTCGATCTAGAGGGAGGTGAATAGATCACAAATTTTTCAACCAAAAACTTTGGCAAAAAATTGTTTTCAAAAATATGGTGCAGCGGAAAAACGGCCTAGATCGAATCGTCTAATCGAACCTACTATTGAAAAGCTATATATGTATCGCAAACCAAACAGAATGATAATGAACGTAAATGTTCAACAATTATCAAGCTACAAATCAATTAAACGTAAAGCTATTTGTAACTCATATATCTAATGAACCAAAAGACAATTAAAATACGCACAAACAATTTATCGAACACTTGTTGTGCAATCGATAGCAATTGGAAATCAATTTGTTTTTTATGTTAAAAGCCAATCACAATCAAAGCGATTATGATTATATCAACAACACAGTTTTTAAAAGATAATTTAAAAACAACTTCCAATTGAATTGATCAAACAACGACGAATTCGATAAATTGCAAAATCAACAATTAAAGTGATAAAAAGATAAAAGAGAGAGACCAAAATTTGTTTAGGCAGTTCCCTAATCGGCCTCGCTATGGGTATGTCTTCCCTCAATTCAAAATTAAATTGAGATACTTACAATTAACCTTTTCTTTGCAAAATCGTTTATAAAAGAGATGAAGAATGCAAACCCCAAAAACCCTATTGTTTTGTGTTGATTATTCCACCTCAAAACCCTTGATTAAAAGCTTTATCAAGTGATCAACAATGCGACTACAATCCTCCGATTATTCCTAGCATGCAACTTGTTAAACCAAAGATTCTCGAACACAATTCACTATCTCGCGCCACTCCCTTGCAAGGAAACCACCTTGTCCCAAGGTCTTCACTCGGTCGAATCTGTGTTGACGTGATCTTGTCCAAAACCTTTAAATCAAATCGATCTTGAATGAAAACCTCACCTTGGTTTTCTTATTTGAAACACACAATTTTCCCAACCCAATACTCTCGGTTACACCAAACCTAATTGGATGTTATCAACTCTAATCTAGATGGTCACCCAAACGAAAAATGATTATGTGTAGTTCAATTGTGTGTATGCATAGAAGAAAGGTTGAAGATGATGGGCAACTTTGTAATCCAGTTTCGTTTAGGCTTTATCTCTAGAAAATCCTTAAACTAAAAGAAGGTGCATGTATGAGTAAATATAGGCATGTGAGAGAATGAGCAAAAGGAATGCAATAAGTTGGAGCAAAAATGAAATTTTTGAGGTGGGAACACATATAGGTCGGCCTATGAAGGTCATAGGTCGATCTATGTAGGTATTCAAGTCGACCTGTGAGGCATCCTGTAGGCAGAGCGTACAAGCTTGAATACTGCTCCATGGGAGCCGACTTGAAGAATGTATGTGCCGACTTATACTAAAGCTGAAGATCGTATAGGTCGGCCTGAAATGAATTTGTATGCCCAAAAATATGTTTTTCAATGCAAATATAATGTTAACTCATTTTCAAACTTATTTGAATGCTTCCTAATGATTCCTAGTGCCAAGATGCACATCTTGAATGGGAGGGTACCGTCCAATATACATAACGCTACATTATCCTAGTTTTGACATCACTCAAAATACAAAGACACTCACAAATTCTTTTTTATCCTTCTTCCTCGTTTCACGTTGCATATTTCTTTGCGCTTCTATTGTGTTTTCTACAACCAGTGTGTAGCCATCATTGACGAGTTCAAGCATATCTTGAGCGCCAAAAAACACACGCATTTGAATCGACCATCGATTCCAATTCTTTCTGTCAAATACTAATAACTTTATATTCAAGCTACCGTTTTTTCCTTTCATCTTTGTTCTTGTGGAAATCTCTCAATTCTCACTAAGACTTGTGTTTTCCATGACGCTAAGAATCAAGATTGTAATTCTCTTTGATTTCGATCTTTAACTCAATGTGAATTTTATGGAACGAAATCAAGCACACACCTTAATACACTCGTATTTTCCTTTTGATCAAAATCGAAGCTCCTGGACACCAATTTGTTTGATTTCAAATGTGAAACTCCATTAATGCAGACACACAAAACATTTAAGAGAGGTAGAAGATGAATCTTTATTGATATCACTATTTCTATTAGAATTGGTTTCAAGCACAGTTAATAGATATTAACTTTCTTAATGAAATGCAAATTTATAACTAATGAAAATGTAAATTCATTCAACAATAACTACTAATGATAAAAACAGTAAGCGTGAGAATGTGAATTACTTCCAATAGTAATAACATAATCTTTTTTATATTCTAAATTTGAGATGAAACTTTTTTTTTAGTTTTCTAGCATGTGTTATATGTGTGCGTTTCATTAGTTTATTGCAGAGACAAACACAGAAAAAATACAAGTAAATCCACAATCACCTTAAACACAATTAGTTATCCACATTCAATTTGAACAAAACTTTTGTAATTACGTACTCTTTTAATTTTAATTTTGGTGGTTTGAAGACAAAGACATAAAATCAAATACAATTTTTATACTAGTTAAATGTGTTAGAGGAGTTTTACACTAGGGAGCATTGAATATTAAATCAAAGGTAACACAAGCGAAAGAGACACCACATATTCACCCAAAATCTTAAGGTGATAGGTGTATGAGTTCTTCCACTTATAAATGCTCAAGCACCACATTCCTATCCAATGTGAGACTATTATTTATACTACTCACACTTGTTATATTATTTCAACACTTCCCCTCAAGTGTGAGTCCACAATGCTCCTCTCATGTGAAAACTCTTTTGTCCACATATATTTGTACCACCGTTGATACCTATTACTAGGCACCTCTTATTAGGTATTTCAAATATACCGCTTTCCTTGGGCATTTCGATTTCAACAAGACACCACTTCTTGAGTATTTCAATACATGTAAGACGGTTCATTTACGAATCAAAGGCTCGTGATATCATGTTAGAGAAATTTTATACTATGGAGCATTAAATATTAGGCCAAAAGCAACACAAGTGAGAGAGACACTACATATTCACCTAAAACCTTAAGGTTTTGGGTGAATATATGGTGTATCTTTCAGTTGTGTTGCTTTTGATTCAATGTTCAATACTCTCTAGTAAAAACTCTCCCAACAGAATGACCAGTATAACAATGTTAGGTCTAACATATTGACGAGGAATCTTAAACTTCAATTAATAACATTGGTAGATGATAGAATTGTCTAAGAAAAATCAAAATTGTGACTATATAAAAATAAATCCGAAGAAAAAAAAAAGGTATTCATGCATGAACAAACAGACAAAAAAAAAACGATGATGATACGTAAAAAGTTGAATGTTCTAGTAAATCCTAAAAAAAGAAGAAAAAAAAAACAGTTGCTAACATATAAAAAAAAAATTAAAGCAGATCACACCCTTAAAAAAATGAAAATAATTAACAAGCACAACAATAAATTAACAAAATTAACTTTTTTTTTTTTTTTTTTTGGTTACACCTATATACTTAAATTATATTTGTAAGAAACAACAATAACAAATTATATTAGATTTGTAGGGTGGATATTACCACCCTTCTATACCACCTACAAATTTAGCCTAATATAAGAAAAAACTATCAAAACAAAGATATAATTTCCACATAAGTAATTAAGTTTTTTTTAGCACAAATCACCTAAACATAAACATAACAGTGTGGTTTTAACACAAAAATCGCAACCACGTTCGTCTCACGGAATCTTCGGACTCTTCCCAACTCACTAACTGATTAACATCCTCAACTTCTTTCTCTTTCAAATTTTCTTTCTTAACTTATTATATATACCATTATAAAACTTCACACTGCTTCAATCACATCGTAAAATAAGATTTTTATTAATCATTATTTCTCAACCAATTTTTCCTGTTATTCATTTCTGATGGATAATGGGATTCCCAGACAATCTTCCATAAAAAACAAACTTAAAAATACAATATGTTGTTTCACAGGAAACATTCATCATCATGATTCTTCATTTGAAGAAGGAGAAGGATTTTATAACAAATTGCGCATACCAAAAACACCAATCTCACCTCCAGGCTCGACATGTTCATCATCCCTGTGGTTCAAGAAATCGCCCCCATGTAATGGAAGTGAATTTTCTCGTGTTAGGGGTAGAAGTATAAGGGCACTCGTGGGTCTTAAACACGGTCATCATCGCCAATCGCATTCCGCGGATTTTAGCTATGATCCTTTGAGTTATGCACTCAATTTCGAAAATGAAAGTGCTCAAGATGATGTCCCAATGAAAGCTTTTAGCTCTCGATTGCCTCAGTCGCCGCCATCTTCTTCGTCATCGGGTGATTACTCTGATAAGCTTCCAAAAGAGATTGTTGGATATAGTTGATTACCACCATACACATAGGTAGGTTTATATGTTTGGTTTCATATACTTGACAATGTTGTGTTGGCATCATTATTTCTATCTACATGAATGTACCTTCTTCTATCAGAATTTTATATTGATTATTTTTCAATTATTTGATAATTATTATGAAAATTTAATGCTGAGTAATGTAAATTGAAATCAAAATCTCTCAAAAAGGAGAAAATTATTCAAAAGAGTTAAAACTAGTCAAAATCTAAATACAAGTAAGTGATATGTCATTATTGTTACAAACATGCTACGTATAAAAAAATTGTTTAGACTGGAAAAAGGAGTATGTAAGCCATAAGAATAAGCATCAAAAATGGATGATGATGGTTGTGGATAGAGTGATGCATGTTATTAATCTCCGTTCTACTATTTTTGAACAACGGGATTCACAATACAATTTGGTTGGAAAAAATGTCAACTATTGTCATTGTATAATATTTGGTTGTAAGATTTTGAAGCACACTCTAAAGGATGAAACATGCTATTTAGATGAAAAGTTATGAAAATGCATATTTATTAGTTATATCCAAGATGAATTTATTGCAGTTTGTATGATTATGTATAGAAAAGGTTTATTAAAAGTCACTATGTAGTGTTTTATGGAAAACCAAATTATCTAGGACATTAATAAGATGGAGAAGACCACATCTAAGAAAGGTAGAAACTATTTTTTTATGTTGATATAAGCGGAAAAATTCATCTATCAATTATATGAAATTAGAACATCAATACTTATTTGTTGAAGTTATGATTCAGAATCTCAAAAAGATGAATGATCAGATCTTCCTCTCTATCTCACACTATCGTTCACAACTCTCAATGGTGCAAGTTGTGGAGCCGCCAGTTATGTTTCTGATTCATATTGTGATTACCGAGGAGAACTAACCATATAATATATATAATCCTAGTCACTACCCATTATGAGCCCAAGGTTAAAGCCCACACTTTTACCTACACAAATCAGGTTTCAGATACTCAGCCATTAGTAAGAAAAAGGATCACTTAATTAATAAAAGGACTTATATATGCACCCCCATCAGAATCACGATTAACCCGTTTTTCACAAAATAAACCACAATTGATTGTAGCCTATAAAAAGTTAGATAAATCTAACATTCTCCCACTTGGACAAAATCAATTGTATGATTTTTATTTTAAAATACATTTTGAAAACAACTCTCGGGTTAATGACTAATTTCTTAAAATGCGGTCGCATTTTAAGAAAATGCATGATTCCAGGTGCAGTATCTAAATATGACTTCATCCAACAAAAGTAAAGCATTATTGAATCACGACGATTATTATATCCTTCATTGGCATAAAACCTTCTGTGGTTACAAATACTACATACTCCGTCAACTAATCATCAGTGTGAAGTGTGACAAGAAAATAACATGCTAATGTGATCCAACAGCCAACTGCTATTTTCTTTGTCAATCCATAACAATTTCTCTTAAATGCATTAAAGCCAAAGAAATTATATGGTTTTATAAACCATAATGCCTCAGCTCCAATATGGCGTCGACCACTGGCATAGTGGTCCTGACAACGTCGAGCTTAAAATCATACCTCAGCTCCAATGTGGCATCAACCACCGGTGTTGTGGTCCTGAAGACACCAAGCTCAAAATTGTAATCATGCCTCAAACTCCAAACTAGTGTCGACCATAGGCACAGTGGTTTCGATGACATTGAGTCCCAATTTTAGCAATATACATATAAATAAACAATGACAAATAATAATAATAATAATAATAATAATAATAATAATAATAATAATAATAATAATAATAATAATAATAATAATTATAATCATTGTAATATCAATTGCTTAAAATAGAAAGTACTTGACAATCCAACACTTAAAGTGTCCAAAATAAAATATAACATGATACAAAATGACATAAAGAACAAACTCCCACTAACCAAGTACATCAAAAGAACTCACAATGCCCATGCTCTCAACATGGTTTTTGAACACAATGGGCCTAAGTCCTTTAGTTAGGGGATCAACTAGCATGAAATCAGTACCAATGTATTCAACAACAATGTCATTTTTCTTTACAAGATCTCTGACTGTCAAATACTTCAATTCCAAATGCTTAGAACCGCTAGAAGTTTTATTATTCTTGAAGTAGAACACAGCTGAACTATTATCACAGTAAAGCTTTAGTGGCTTTGCAATGGAATCAACAATACGAGGTCCAGTCACTAAATTTCTTAACCAAACAACATGAGTGGCAACAACATAATAAGCAACAAACTCTGCCTACATAGTAGAAGAGGCGACAAGAGTTTTCTTTTTACTCTTCCATGATATCACACCTCCAGCCAACATAAAAATGTAACTAGAAGTAGATTTCCTATCATCAACACACCCAGGAAAATCAGAGTCAGTATACCCAACTATTTCAAAGTTGTCAACTCTTCTAAAAACAAGCATATACTCTTTAGCTCTCTACAAATATCTCATCACTTTCTTAGCCGCAATCCAATGATCATTCCCAGGATTAGATTGGCAGCGTCCCAATACGCCAACTATGAAAGCAGTGTCAGGCCTAGTGCATACTTGAGCATACATCAGGCTGCCCAATGCAATGTCAAAGGGTTTTCCCTTCATCTCTGCCCGCTCAATCTCATTTTTAGGACATTGATCTTTACTGAATTTGTCTCCTTTAGTAATTGGAACATCTCCTGGCTTACAGTTTTGCATATTAAACCTCTCTAGAACTCTATTAATATAAGCCCTCTGCGACAAGCCAAGTACACCACATGATCTATCTCTGTATATTTCAATTCTCAACACAAAGGATGCTTCACCAAGGTCCTTCATATCAAAGAACTTTGTTAGCATAAGTTTAGTCTCATGAAGTAGACCAAGATCACTACTCGCAAGAAAAATATCATCAACATATAACACAAGAAAGATGAATTTTCTCCCACTGACTTTAAGATAAATGCACTGATCAACTTTATTTTCTTCAAAATCCAATGAAGTTACCACCTCATCAAATTTCAAGTACCATTGTCTAGAAACCTGTTTCAAATCATAAATAGATTTTCTTAATTTACAAAGCAAGTGCTCATCACCACTTTTTACAAAACCCTCAGGCTGCTGCATGTACACCTCCTCATTAAGATCACCATTCAGAAAAGCAGTCTTAACATCCATCTGATGCAATTCCAAGTCAAAATGTGCTACAAGGGCCATAACGATTCTAAAAGAGTCTTTAGTGGAAATAGAAGAAAATTTTTCATTAAAATAAATCCCCTCCTTTTGTGTGAAACCTTTAGCCACAAGTATTGCCTTAAACCTCTCAATTTTACCTTTCGAGTCCTTCTTTACCCTCTGGTCGATGCATACCCATATTATAATGCATTTTCATCTGGTGCCATGAGAAGGTTCGATGGGTTTGTTGAAACAACAGCCAGTCAACATAGGGATCTTGCCACCAACTTTAACACCCTAAATAGAGCGGTCTTGGAGTTCACTAAAAGAGCCGATGCACAATTGCCTCTGGAGTATCCCTCTCGAGGGCGTAGCCATCATTTTAGGGGGAGGAGACCTTGAAGATGTCTTGTATACTGCATTTTGCATCTGATTATCTATTCCCAAACATCATTATTTACCATGGATTTTATTTCATCATGCATTACATCTGTCCACATGCTAGGTTGAGAACAAGTAATAACTTCTAAATAGTTTTTAGGATCAATAACAATACCAACATCATAAGCATCCTCACTAAGATAAACTACAAAATCATCAGGGATAGCATGTCGCTTTTGTCTTACTGACCTTCTAACATGAATTTGCTCAACTGACTCATCATGTTGTGCAACCTCAGTTATAATAGGAGGATCCACTACATTTTCAATAAGTGGTTCACCCACATCTTCAACTGGATGTTCATCCACATTCTTATTTGGAGTAAAACCTCCATGAGTCGTGGATGATCTAGCATTATCAAAATTAGACAGTGACAAAGTAACAACATCAGGCATAACAAAATTAATATTATAAAATGCAGTGACAAGCTCAACAACGTCAAGCTCAAGGAATTTTGCATGCATGGACTCCACATTTTTATTACCTCTACCATGACAAAAAAATCAGTATCCTTTAGATCGATCCGGATATCCAATAAAAAATCAACGACTTGTTTTTGGGTCAAGCTTTGTCTCAAAGGAATTATATATTTTTACCTCTGTAGGACAACCCCAGACACGGAGATGGTTCAAACTGGGTTTTCTACTTGTCCAAAGCTCAAAAGGTATTTTTGTAACTGGTTTACTAGGAACTCTATTAAGTATATAGAGGGTTGTTCTCAAAGCGTCACCCCATAAAAATTCTGGTAAATTACTCCAACTCATCATGTTTCTCATTATATCCTTAAGGGTGCGATTTCTCCTTTCGGCTACACCATTTTGTTCAGGAGTACTAGGCATGGTGTATTGTGGAACAATTCCACAATCTTGCAAGTATTTTGCAAAAGGCCTCATGTGTTGCCCAGTAGAATGATATCTACTATAATACTTTTCACCACGGTCAGAACGTACCACCTTTATCACTTTTCCTAGTTGTTTTTCAACCTAAGTTTTAAAGATTTTAAAATTTTCAAGTGTTTTTGATTTTTCCTTAATCAAGTAGAGATAGCCATACCGTGAAAAATCATCAATGAAAGTGATAAAAGATTTATTACCACAAATAGTTGGAGAAAGGGGGTCACTAATATCTGTATGAATTATTTCCAAAAGGTCTAAACTTCTAGTTGAACCTTTCTTATTGGTCTTAGTAAATTTTCCTCTAATACAATCCACACAAGTCCTTATACCATTGAAATCTAAGAAAGGTAAAATATCATCTCTAATTAACCTTTCAACTCTTTCTTTAGGGTCTGTTTGGTTCAAATAAGGGGAAGGGGAGGGGAGGGATTTTAATGAAGGGGAGGGGAGGGGAGGTGAGGTGCG